ATCGTTCTCACGACTGCCGCTTTGTACCCTGAGCTCATTTCAGTCGCATTCTTCCACCATATTCCCGGGTCATTATTCTCCATTTTACTGACTTAGTTTTTATGCCATCCATCCTCCTTCCCTTCCACTTTCAATGGCCCAACCTCAGTTGTCTCTGTCTGGAATGACCTTGCTAAATCCTTCCAATTTATTGCATTACCTCTCTGCCAACCAATAAAACTGACCAGTTGGACCATAATTTTGATCATCACTTCCATTGCTGTTATGTCAGTTTTCTCCTTTCACAATGGCAGTGCTTTCTGAGTTACTCCTACTAAATAAATGCAAGCTTTTTTTTTGTACTGGAGCATTTAAATCTGCTCTGAGGTTTAGTATTACCTTTCATTTCAACAGCATGATTTTAGAATGGGAAGACCAAAAGCTTTATTGTGTGCGACTACCTCCTTAACTATCTCCCTCTGATAATTTGGACTTGTTCTTTCTAATAATTTTGTTAAAGTTAATGACTCATGATATCTAGCAGTTTCTGGGAAGTTGCCTCACAACAGATTTTGAGGACTGTTGCAGTATTTGTGAACAATTCTAATGTCAAGGGAAATGTAATTAGTGGACAATAGCCTGTTTCTTTCCACTTACAGAGTGCAATGTGTCAATTGGTGATATTGAGGGTTTCTTGGAAAGGATTTGGTACCTGGCAAAATATTATCCAACTTAAATTCAGTCATCTTATGGTTTGTAGAGTGTGGACTTTGGAAATAACTCTTGCAAATTCTTGGCAGGTTTTCAGCTCTGCTTTTAGTTTATTGTCTTGCCGCCTTGTTTGTTACTGAATCTCTTCTGGATGAAGAAAATAATTGGCATCTTACGAGATGGAAAAAGGAAAGTAGCATTCCAGCACAAATAGGCCCAAGCCACAATTAGTGCTTTGGCCATGGTCATTTTTTTTCCTTCAGAACAGTTTGTAACTCTGTGCTGTACTTTTATCCGGCCACAATCAGGCAGAATAAGCACATGTAAAGAATTCTGATATTACAGTATTTTGTCCCATCTTGCCCCAGGTATAAGCCCACAAGTGTCTAGGTTGCTCTGATTCTAGCCTCTTGAATATCAGATTTTTAATCATTGCACTGTTGGTGGCCATACCTTCAGCTGCCTGGGCCCCAACTCCCTAAACCCTGCCACCTTTCAACATCTCCTAAAAGATGTTTTTTGTCTAAGCTTTTAGTCATCTGCATTGCCGTATGTGACTCGATATCAAAGTATGCTTTCTAATATTCTTGTAAAGGGCCTTGGAATATCACGTTCAAGGCACTAAATAAATACAAATTGCAGTTGTTGAAAGCTGCAACATATTTTGTATGCTGCCTTCTATGTTTATTGTAATGAAGTATTAGCAGTCTGAATTCCCCAGGATAGATTGGCTGAGAGCCATTAACACTTTGCAACATATTTGTTGGGGTATCTCATATTTCTGTTATCAATTGCTTTGTCTCCTTATTTTCTAACTCTCTGGAACCAATTGCAACCATGTAGCTGCAGTCAGCAAGCTGCTGGGGGGTGGGTGTTGGGGTGGCGGTGTTCAGGGGGTGGGGGTCTGGATGGTGTTGGGGAATGGAAGAGCCCCGTGCATAGCATTCACGTTTAGTCTGTGGAAATCTCTATGACCTCGTCTTTGCTTTGTGTCATTCAATGAACGATACTTCTGAAGAAATCTTTATTGTAGGAGGTGAGCCAACTGTGTCAGATGACTTTGCTCTCTCGAGTTGGCACACCCCAGCATAATGTAACAGTCCAACTGAGAAACAAAACTTGCACCAAACAGTGGCCAAGTCTTGAAGTGGCATTGCTTCTGTTTGAGTCTAACAGGAAGCCATCTGTAGTCTGTGCAGGGCAGGTGTTCTGCTGCCTGTGCTACACAGACACAACACATCCAGCTGCACGTCCAATCTGTTTTATTTTTAGGTAAGTGGAATTGATTAGAAGCGGTTCTCTTTATAATTGCAGCAAACATTTCTTAGAAACATGGGTTTGTTACAAACAATAGCCATGACAGCAAGCTCCTCCTCAACCACTGCTGCACAATGATCCTTCCAGTGTGTATCTGTCCATGTGTGTGTCATGCACTCTACTTCAGGCTCTAGTCTTGTATAGACAGGAAACAGTAACATTTGTGACTTGGTGCAATCTCAGTGGAGAAAGACCTGAATTGGCTCGATTAGTCCAATAATCTATTGAATGTGTTTTTATTTCTCAACAAGTAAGTGAGAGCAGTATTTGGGACGATTGTAATGAAAGCAAGAGGAAGGTTGTAATCTGTTAGTGCTGCACTATCTGGTCTGTTGAGATGAAGATCTGAAGGATTGTCAACAGAATTTTGTAAAGTGTTGTTTACACTAGTTGGGATTTCCTGTAAATGATAGGACTGTGCTGTGGGCAAAGAATGAAACTTATTCACTGGTTACAAGAATTTGGAAAAGTTAAAGCAGGCCTCTCTGGGAGGATAATGTTAAAGCTTCTGCATCAATTAAAGAAGATAAATTGATTATTAGAAGTATCAATTATTACTGCAACGATAGTTCTGAACAGATGGTCAGAGTCATTTGGCAGAATATCTCATCGTCAGAACTTCCAAGCTAGATATGGCCTGCCTGCTAGAGAGAAGGATACTCTCACCACTAGACTTTCCACAGCAGAGTTGTTCTTGGCCAAGTGTTGCAGACTGGCACATTCCAACGTCCAGGGTGACACGCTGACGGATTTACTGAAACCTGGGGCAGCTCCGCAAAAGGTTGCTGCCTAAGGCCTTACCAGAGATCTGGTAACTTACAACCCTGCAGGCTGTATACTTATCACTGAATGCACATAGTAAATGCCACACGTATTGTATCTAGATTGAGGCACTTAATAGTGGAACACACTCCAGTGAGAAAAATTGTATTTTGTTGCATTTTCCATAACATCCAATTTGAAATCTTTTGGACCTAACTTTTAGATATCTTGTGAATCAAGTAAATACTTGCAAAAGTTTTAGGTTTATTGGTTCAATTCAGTTATGGGCTGGTTTGATTGGTACTGACAAGTCTATTTTTTAATATAGAGAGGTGTGTCAGTCTTCAAACACTTTTTAGTAGCACTATGTGCTCTAACAGCTAGAACTGCAATAAACCAGGGTGATCTAAATCCTATCACTATATTGACTGCACCACTCTTGCTTCAGCTTGAAAACAAAGGTTTCCGGAAGATATAAAAAAAATTGCTTGCCTCCAATAACCAAGCATAAGAAACTTAAGATCCTAGGTCCTTTACAACCAGTCCAGCCGATGCGTCTGGAAGAGTTTTTAAAACTTTCTGATCACGTTTTTTTGTGTGTGAAATTTCCACAGCAGTTGCATTTGGACATGGCGAATGTAGGAACACAGGACTGGTAACTTGATCTGCCATGAAATGCCCAAACGTTTCACGTGTCTGTGATTAAAAAAAAGCTTGAGGATTATTTTCTCTGTCTTTCTCTCTCTCTCTGGTGTCAGACTTCGAACAAAGATCCAGGCAAGACCCAGCCCCCCACAGCCCTCCCCACTGGATAGTGTTCCTGTGGTAGTTTGGGATGGGGAGGGGGAATGGGTTACCTGGCTCAGAGATAACTGCTGTGTGCCCAGCTTTGTTTGTTTTTCTTTCTGTTCAGCGGCAGAATTCAATCAAGCCTGCCAAGATTGTTCTCAGTGTCAGCCCACATGTGGAAACTGTGTCTCATGTGGTGAAACCACCAGCTTAACTCCTAACGTACAAATGAAAAAGAAAATATGGGAAGAAAATTCAAATTTCACTGTGTGCCTGTCAGTCTGTGTCTCTCTTGGTTTTTGTTTCATGCTATCTTGTCAGTTGTCATTCAGTAGCCCTCCCTCCCACCTACCCCCAACCCCCGCCCGGCCTCCCTCTCCAACCCCTGCCTCTTCCTGTACACATACTGTGACCTGAGAGAAAGAAACGTTTGTTTCCTTCACAGCCTCGACACGGACGTTTTGTCAGGCAAGTCCACCAACCAAAGAGACTGTGTCTTCAGACTGATCAGCATTGGGCATTCTTGGCATTTTTGGGCACCTCATTAAAGTTTGCTGTCACAAGCAAGGGGCTGATCAGTACGACAGGACTTGGAAAACACTTCTTGAAAGAAAAATCCTTTGTATCTTTAATTCTATTTTCTTTTTAAAACCGTGTGCTAGAAAGCAATGTTCGATTCAAGTTGTAAATGTACTGAAACAAATAAACACTTGGCTTGGTTTTTGTTCGATAGAAGCTTATTTTGTCCTTTGCCGTTCTGAATTGAATACTTCAAGGATTATGTTTCTAAAAACGTTCAGCAATATTAAGCTGACTCTGTAACACTTGAAGCTCAGGTAATCTTTTTGTGGTAGTTGAATACGTGTAAAGTGATGCTCTGCATGGAAGTTTTACACTGTTTTCTGTTACCCTAAAATGTGAGTAACAATTGCCTTTCTGAAACTAGCTTATCTTGTCCTACGGTGGTAGTGAAATTGAATGCTTTAAAGAGAAAGTGTGAAACACTGGTTAAAGTAACTTTTCCAGTCAGCTGTAAGAAGCCCTAACTGAGTAAGAACACAAAGAGAAGATGCCAATTTTGTTGGCCAATAAATTAGGCAGAAAGTTTATGACAGAATTGAGAATGCGAGCCAGTTTTCTCAGAATTGAATTGTAAATTGTGCTCCCTAAGTTATACAGTGAATTTCTAATCATCATCCGACATGTGGGAAAAAAAAGTTAAAGGCAGTCAGTTTGTTTTTCTGATTTTTGTTTTGAGCTGGCTGCCTTGCTGGCCTGTAAAAGTCTAGATTTTAACGTTAATGCACTTCAATTTGGTTTGTAATGGTTATTATCGTCCTTTCTGAACATAAATAAAACTGCCCTGAGTTGGTTTCTATTTGTATTTAATATTTAGAATTCATTATGTAAGTCCAAGGAGAAACTGAAAGAAACTTTCTTACCAGATTGCTGTAGCCAGTAGTGTCGTCCTCACTCTCAACTTCCTTGTCTTTGCTCGTTAAGTGGACAAAATGCTTGTGTGAAGTGTAGCATCTCACCAGAGTAACTGTTATCAGAAACTTGAATCTCTCCTCTGTGTAAATCACTGTGGCTCTCTTGCCAGAGACTTTCTGATGCCCAGGTATCAGTTCCAAGTAGAAAATGCCAAAAAGACAGGTCTTTTTTTTAAGAAAGAGTAATATTTTATTCCGAACACTCCTATTGGCATTTAGCAGGTCCTTTGTGTTAACAGCACCATTGGTCGTCACTATTTACTGCAAAAAAAAGGTTGTGAAAATGAGTAAGGAGAATTCTTGCAGTCTATTAAGGCAGTGAGTTAGCACACTGTCTGTCTGACTTGTGGCTTGCAGTTACACCAGACTATGTGCAACATCAGCATGTCATTGGCATGAAGAACGTTCAAATCCAGTATGTCATCTTCTTATTCTGAGCACATAACTGGGGAAGGACAAACTGACTGGATCCTCTTATTTTTTTGTGATGTATTTACATTTCTGAAGAGTAGAATTGCTGCACGTAGGCAAGTCTTGATTGGACCTCCTTTCCTGCACTGCCTCTGTTTGCGAGCTGCAGGAGCAGATGTACAATGTGCAGAGCCTTCCTTCTCCACCACAGATAGCAGGAGGCGGGTTCCAGCCAAAGCTTCAGTACAATGATGTCACGGCAGTCAGCTCTAATTAAAGGGATGTGGACTGCCCCCTGAGCTTTTGGCAGCCTCTGGGATGGAAAACCCTGCCTTCTGACAGCACTGCAGAAGTATGCAACCTACATGCAATGAAGATGTCAACAGTTTTTAAATTAGATGTTTCAGTAGAGGGCAGAAGACCACCTCCACATTGCATTCAACCTTTTTTTACATCTTCTTTGTAAGTCATAGGAGTGGACCAATTAACACATGCATTTGAAGTTTTACATGTAGAGTGGGGAAAACTAACCAAAGAAAACGGTGCATAACCTCAGGTGTGGTGGAGAGAAAGCTTAGCAGTTCTGCAGGATAAATGAAGAGACTTCTAACAGTGGTATTGTTTAAACTGTTTCACACAATACAGTGCACTGTCCCTCCTCCCAACATTTAAGATGTGCTGTTTTATTTGTAATTGAGATTTTCTCTCTCTCTCTCTATGCATTGCTCTAAGATGCTTTTTTTAAAACATGCTGGAGAGAATATGCAGCTTCTTATGTTGGCAGTGGTAAAAAGAAATTTGACAAAGCACTTGATATTCTCCTGGGTTTATGGCAAATTGAATCCAATCACTATGGTTACAATACCTTTGAAGGGGCATTGTGTGACACCAAGACCTCAGGCAAGGCTCCTCAATTTGTCATGGTCCCAGACGGGACGTCTCAAAGCAGCCAAAATTCTCAGGTGAAGGGGAATCCCTGAGCTCCCCTTCTTTGTTCACTCACCCCTTTTGATGGTCACAACAAGGTTCAATTAAAAACAGATCCCTTCGCTTTGTCCCAGTTCCAAAATGAATTTGTTTTAAAAGGAGCCAAATCAACCATGCTTTCTTGTGTCATTGAAGAGTACGTTTATTGTTTGCTACATGCAAGAAGAAATACAAACACGACACAAACAAACAGATTGGAAATTACAGGTGTGTCCAGAATGCTAAGAGTTTAATGAAGAAGACACCCAGATCAGTCTCTGAATTGGTCACAAAATGCGGATAGCTGAGCATTGCACCCACTATACTGGAGGCTATTGGCAGCATTAATGTTGCTCGTTGAAAGTCTATTTCAAGATTTTTAATTTTAGAAGTTCTGAGGAAGGATTACTGGACCTGAAACATTAACTCTGCTTTCTCTCTATAGATGCTGCCAACCTGCTGAGCTTTCCCAGCAACTTCTGTTTTTGGTCCTTAGTTTCACAGATTGCTAGAGGTTCTGTTGTTCTTTTCCTTTGACCGTGATTTGAATTCCAACATTTGGGATTGGAGAGAATCCTTTTCGTATTCTGTTCCTTGTTTTCCTCTGCCTGAGTAGCTTGCTGACTTCTAGCATGCAGAGTAAGAGAATAACTTTACCTGCAATCCAGGGAATAGTCAGTTTTGCCCACTCTCCTTGTAAAACTGCCAATGCATGTGTAAACTCATTATTTTTATAGTTACAAGAGATCACTGTCCAGTCCGTTTTGACTTTCTCCTTCTTTTGAAGGGATGTTGTTGGAAGTTCCCTTTGCATATTTAGGTTTGACATTCAATGGGTTGCTCTTTCTCACTTCTGCTTGCTCTCTCGCTCTCGCTCGTTTTCTTGCCATTGCTCTCGCATGCTCTTTCTCGCAATCACTCACTCTTCCCCATGCCCTTGTTCTCCAGCTCGCTCTCATTCTTGTGCTGTTGCACCTTCTCACTATTTTTCATGTGTTCTTGCCCCTTCCCGCTGTCTTTCTTGTGTTCTTGCCCCTACCAGCTCTCTTTCTCGTGCCCTTGCCTCTTCTCGCTCTCATTCTCATGTTCTTGCCCCTCCCGCTCTCCTTCCCGCGCCCTTGCCCCTTCCCGCGCCCTTGCCCCTTCCCGCCCCCCCCCCCCTTCCCGCCCCCCTTCCCCCCCCCCCCTTCTCGTGCTCCTTCTCCTGCGCCCGCGCCCCTTCCCGCGCCCGCGCCCCTTCTCGCGCTCCTTCCCGCGCCCGCGCCCCTTCTCGCGGCAACCACTTAATTTACGTTTGTAGCCATTTCTCACTGTATCAGATCACTTTTGAAAAACACACTTCACAATTACAAGTTAAAAATGTTCACAGCAATGTTGGGTCTGTGACCAGTGATTGTGAACATTGACAAATGTGTTTAGGAACAGGAGTAGGCCATTCAATCCCTCAAACCTCTTCCACCACTCAATAGATCATGACTGACCTGTACCCCTCAAGTTCCTTAATCCACTATCTTGAAATGTTCTAATCTAATTGAAATCTCAGGACTTTTTTTTTATTGAAGTCATTGGCCTGAATTTTGTTAAATGGCAGGAATGTTAAATGAGACTGACGTGTGTGGGCAGCTGTTGGGCCTTTGCTCTGACTTGTATAAGTGCCACCAAGGATGGCAAACCACACTCTGGAGAACAGCTGACCTGATCTGGTGGCCATCAGCTTGGTAACCGCCAAGATGGCAGTGGCCCTGCAGCCAACAGAAGGTTGGCAAAAGATTTCTTAATGTAACTGTGGGACTGAGTACTGGAGGGGTAGCCCCTGTGGGAAATCGCTGGAGCTGCAGGTGCTGTCTTTCTTACCCAGGCCCCCGTTTTCACTCGTTGTAGTGATTGGTACAAGGATGGCCTGGTAGATCATGTTGACCATGAGATCCCTGTTTGGGGCTGTTAACACGGGCCAATCAGGGAGCCCTGGCTGACAGATATAAGCAGGAGTCTTAGAGACGCCTCACTCTGAGAATTGGCTTTGAGCTGAGTGGTCGGAGTCCATGTGCTATGCACATTGTAAATAAAAGGTGACTTGGTGATGGGATACTGGCCTCTGTGCAGTTATTTCGCTCTTAAAAGGGACATATCCCCTCCTCCAGCCTCACTTACTGCCTGTAAAATCCAACTCTTTGTGTCAGATTTGTCTGTTTATCTACCTGAAATCATCAGCGCAAAAACATTTGGAATCTAATCAACAAAATGGCAGTGTAGGCTTAAGCCATTTAGACATTATTCTTGAACCAGTGCAGATGGCAGGTTTGGTAGTAAAAATGAAATTCCCTTTACCCCAAGGCCAGTTTACCACTGCAAAGGTCTCCAAGAATGAACCTATGCACACTGCCATACAATGTGGAACTTTCCATCTATCAAATGTATGCATCAAGCACAAAGTTAGCTGTTAATGCAGTGCCAAAGAAGTCTGAATCATATTTCAAATGTTAAGGGGATTTTTTTTGGCAATTTCCGTGGATACAATATAAACAGAAACACAATACATTTGTCGACTGTAGCAAATAAATTATGATCTTAAGATGTTATTGAGCAATGCCTTTGTGCACATTTGGCATTTAGACACCAAACACTAAAAACTGGTCCGCAGCAAATTGACTGCAATTTGAAATCTCAATATAAATTGGCCAATATGCCAGATTTTCCACGCAAGCATGACCATAGAATAGAACATAATTCATGTCTCCCAATGTCAAGTGGATGGCCCCCAGGTTGAATCTCTATTATTCTGTGCTCATTAATTTTTCAGAAGAAGCATTGTGTAGGAGCTAACATTAACTTGCAGTGGCTGTTTAAAGTAAAGAAGGTATTAGCATACTGGTAATGTCACTGGCCTCGTAAATCCATACCTCAGGCTAATGTTCTATAGACACGGGTTCAATTCCCATCATGTCAGATGGTGAAATTTTAAATTCAATAAAGGAAAATTTGGGGGGAGAAAATCGGTCTAATAATGGCTTTGTAACCATTGTTCATTGTCCTAAAACCCATTTGGTTCCTTTAGGGGAGAAAGTCTGTCACCTTTGCCTAGGTTGGTCTACTTGGAACAAGTGAATGTGGTTAACTCTTACTCTGGGCAATTGGGGCTGGGTAACTGCTTAAAAAAAACAAACAAATACTGGCACTACCCTTATCTAATGAATGAACAAAAGAACGTTGCCAAAATGGATTGATCACAAAACTCACGCCGCAATGTTTGACTGGTGCATGGAAGGCCATCATGTTCTGTGAAGTGTTGTAATGCCCTGTAGAAATCTTGGGCTAACAACACAAGGGAAGGGTAGAAAATGGGCCGAATGTCAACCATTCCAAGATCACTTCCTGTGCAGAATACCAGGATGAAGATTTCCTGTCTTTGAATTTGATTGGGAATTGAAGTAATACAGGGCCTAAACCTAACAGCAGGGTGTCCAGAGCGTGTTTTAAATCTGTCAGATGTGGGACAACTGAAATCGCTTGGCACTGTGCCACCTGCAATTTTTACAGAGAGAGTAGTTACCTTTCTTGAAGAATCAATGCTGAAAACATGTAAAATAGAACCATTTCCCATTCCCCAATTCCTTAACCCTGGTTGAAGCAGCATCCATAATGTTCAGAAATATTCGCCAATGTTTGGAAAAATCATGGCTGGTGTCATTTTTTTTAGCATAGGTTGTGTGTATGAAATAAGCATCCAACAAATTAGACAAATTGCACTCTTCCTCCGCTCTGTCAATGTTTGTCACTCCTGTGCTGAAGGCTCCGATTCATAATGGAAAGTTGCTGGGGAGATAGCCAAGCAGCCAGTCTTTCTTATTATTATGAGTGGGTACCATAGCCAACACTACCTGGACCTGTCAGTGGAGGCACTTGCAACATTAGTTGTCCAATTGCCACCATCTCCTTTCTCAGCCTAGAGCCATTGAAGCTAGTGGAGATTGGGAATTGAGCTGGGGATCTGCTGGACAGTTGCACTGTGTAAATTTACCCACTGAGCTCAGAGCGGATCCCATTGGCATTTTATTTAAAGAAAACAATCAAATTAACCTCTGTTAGCCGCAATCACTTACTTGGATATTGGAATCTCTAGAAAGAATTCAAAATATTCCAAAGCTACCAAACTCTGACATTTGACAGAAGAATGAGGGGAGATCTTCTAGAAACATATAAGATTATGAGGGGAATAGATAAGGTGGAG